AGGCTTTGCTGAGTGGTTTGCATTACATAGTTTGCACTGTGCAAAGATATCCAAATCAAGAATGTGTACTGCATTTGCATTTTCCTGTTCAATCATCAGACTTTGTAAAGAATGTAATTTATTTATAACTTCTTACAGATGTGTACATATAGTACAATCACAACACTTGATAACACCAATAAATGAGCTGTCATCAATAAAGGGTACATTCAGATTCTGAGAACTATGGTCAGATATATATTAACTGCACTCCTTCTAAATAACTTTGGACTCGTTTAAAAGTTCATTGTGCATTCAGTTCTAACCAGACCATTGGACTGAGTTACAATGATCACAAAAGTAATAGCCCCACATACAGTAGCTATGTTTCTAACGGACTATTTAGCAGACATACAGTATATTCCAGAAACAGGTTTGAAAAATATAGAACTACTGTATATCACAATGGCACTCAGCCACCATGTAATAAACATCTACACTGTAATACTGCAAAACTAAAGTCACAGTAATGTTTATCTGTAAACAAATAAGGCTGAGTTTGAAATCAACATCTGGACTCACCCACAATTCATAAAATTGTAAAAGCAGCAACTTTTGTTTGTATTAAAGGCTTCCATCAGGCATTAGATTTAATATTTATCACTGTCTGGTGGGCTGAAGTTGTAGTTTAATATGGGCCTCAGTTTAGGTGAACCTTTCCAGTTCTAGGGAACCAGAAGAAGGCAGTGAGAGTGTTTTCAACATACAGATTTCAACTCGATAAATAAAGCAGCAATTGTGTCTGTTCTTCATGTAGGAGGTCTGGTGGTTATGCAGAATATTTTACAAGAAGTTATCCTAAAATGCATACATTCTCAACATTATAACAGCAATAAGCAGATATGCACTGTGTGTTTTTTGTTTGTTCATATCAGTGGACATAAGATTAGCATTCCCAAGGTGTTTTGTAAAAAGAAAGCAAATTACAAATACTCCAGATAAAGAATAAAATATAAACTACTGGCAAGTGAAAGCTAAAAAGCTATCTCAGAAACTCATCATCACAGTGGCATACATTGATTCAGCAAAAATCATTAGATTTTCAAATAAAACATTTCTAAACACACAAATAAAAAACATGTACCCAAATATACAGTAACATGTAAGTACACATTTGCACACATAAGAAAAAACAATACAGTATATAGCATTTCATTTTGATATTGTCACTGCTGTCCAGTGTTTTCTGGTGGTTTAATGGACTTACATCCTAATTTCACTGTCAACAAAGCAAATGTTCCTAAGAGCTTGTATTTGTATCCTTTGTTGGAACTAGCAGCCCATCAGAAAAATTGCAATAGTATTGAAACTAACAGAAACGAAAAAATAAAGGGTCAGACCTCAGAACATTTAAAAACAAACTACAGTAGAACGCTTTTAGTACTTTCGCCAATGACATACAGTAGTGGCGACTCCAGAGGGACAATGACAGGACAGTCTTTAAGAGTGAAAAGCCATGTGCCACAAATGCTTTAATAATCAGGTTTTGCAAAAGAGTAGTGATTGATTCCATCTCTGAGATGACTGATAAGCATCATACAGAAACAAATATAAATTGGGTGGATCTAGCAGGCAGTAGGCATTATAGAAAGAGTCCAGTGCCGCTTTTGAGTCTTGTGAGATGAAACTATTTAAAGAATGGTTAAGTAGTCTAAATAATGTGCAAGGATTTTTTTATATTTCGTATGTATATCCTTTTCTTCTAGTTTTTTCTTCGCTTTTATAACACTCGTGTTGTTTTCTTCTGAATGCAGCAGTCTAGAACAGATTGTAACTAGTGCTCAGAAGATGAGCACAAGATGAGAAGAATTGACATAGCAGTGTCACTAATAATCAAAAACATATATTTTGACAGGCATTTCCCATGGGGAATATTCCAGTGGAATTAATTTTCAAAAGTACCTTGAGCTAAAGGTTCACATGCCATAGTTACAAGGACTAGGGAAAGACTTTTTTGGCGCATGAAAATTTCTTATGTTGACCTAACTTGATCCAATACTGGAACACAGGAAAAACCTTTGCTGTGGTTTTGGAGAGCAAAAATATATTTTTTTACCTTACTGAATGTTCCACGTGCACCATGCAAGTCTTCTTTTGAAGAATCACAAGCATGACATAGCATGACAAATATTATTATATAATCTTAGTGGGGAGGGTCCCTGAAATTTCTCTTTTGGCCCAGAGATCTACACTTTTTGTGAGATTCCACTAGAGTCTTCAGGTCCATTTTTGGATCCTCTGTAAAGAAACAGTAAGCAGTTTTATTTTTCTTTACCCAGCGGTGGGCTTGAAACATAAAAAAAAAAACACAGAGAGCATTTTTCTGCAGCTTTACATATATGTGGTTTCATCCTCATGTTCCCAGCTCAGGTGGGAAATCATGGAAGGCTGCAGGTACTTGGGCACCTCTTGCTTCACTGGGACATGGTAAATAAGAGACGTGCTCTTGAGGATCTTGGAAAAGGCCGGGGAGTTGTTGTGAGAGGCTGTGCTGCCTTGGTTGCTGCACACTAGTTCCCTGAAGCGTTCCCTGAAGCGGGTGGAGAGCAGGTTGTAGATAATAGGGTTGACAGCGGCACTCAAGTAGAAGAAGACCCCTGAAATGACATGCACATACTGGAAGACAGTGTGCATGACATCTGTCCACTGCGTGATGAAACTCCAGAGCAGACGGTCCGTGTGAAAGGGAGCCCAGCAGATAGCAAACACCACTACCACTACAGCTGTGCAAGAAAGACACACACAATAATAAATTACCAGGAGGTCAACCATTACCTCGTAAATCCCTGGCTTATTTTAAATGGTTATTCTAGATATGAAAGATAGTTGCTCAAAATATCTAAAATAGAATAAGCCTACCTGAAGGAGCTCATTTGATGAGCTGATTTGAATGTATTTGATCAGCCAAAAAGTCAAACATGATATTAATTTCTAGCCATTAAAGTAGAACCTAAAGTGAGATTTTCCGACATACTGTAAACAGAAATCATGGACAATAAATACAATATTGTGCATGGATCATGTGTCATTGTGAAATAAAATTGAATCTTATAATAATTCGATTATGCAGTAATGAAGATCACCTTTATTTGCAAGGTATACTACTGGTCTCTTTAATTGATTACAACAGGTTTTCATAACTTGGTTTCAGACACCATGACACAACACTAGATAATATGTGCCAAAGATATACTATAATTACACTTAAGGAAAGAGATTATGGAGCATGTTTTGTAATGAACACGTGTATGTGAAAGCTGTTTTTTTAAAGGATCAGAACAACTGAACAGGTTAATACTGTCAAGAATACATTTCAGCAAAAAGCATTTGATGCATTCAGTGGCAAGACATAGTAGCGCAGAACCTACTTACCCAACATTTTGGTGATCTGCCTTCGTCTCCCACTCTCTAAGTGAATCTTCCAGCTGGTTTTAGTGCTACAATTCTTCCCCAACTTGCCAATTGGGAACTTTTTCTCACGGTTAAGATGGCAGCCTATGATCAAGTAGAGAACACTAATTATGGTCATGGGGATGAAGTAGAAGAAAACAGTGGTGATCTGAATCACAAGATTGTAGATCCATGTGGGTTTCAGCAGGCTGCACATGGCTGACTCTGGTATCTTCTCCTTGTTAGGGAGGTAGAGGTAGTAAATCCCATGGAGAGAGGTATTGGGGATAGCACAGATTAAGGAAACCACCCAAACAGTAGTGATGACTCTCCTGGCATGGGTGTTTGTCATGACGTACTTGGTCTTGAGTGGGTGAACGACTGCAATATATCTCTCCACACTGAGAGCGGTCACATTGAGCACTGAGGCAAAGCAGACCGTCTCAAAAAGGAAAGTTTTGAAGTAACACCCTCCTTCACCTAAAGGGAAAGGATAATTCTGCCACATGTCATATATCTCCAGAGGCATTCCAAAGAGCAAAACCAGGAGATCAGATATAGCCAAGCTGAACAGATAGAGATTGGTGGGAGTTCTCATTTTCTGGTGCTTGGCTATCACTGTGCAGGTAAGAAGGTTGCCTGCCACTCCTGTTATGAAGATTAGGAGGTAAGTGAGGGAAACAGGGAGGAAGAAGGAAGATCTTTTAGGACCAAGAACATTCAGGAGAATTTCTTCAATTGCAAAGTGCTGGTGAGGCCCAGTGTCATTCAGAGTTGAATTGAGAATGGTGGTGTTACCGGAAATACCACTGAGTTCTGAGTAGTTCTGGAACAAGTCCTCTAATCTATAGTGTGACATTGTGACAAGTGCAAGGTGCTGTTATTGGAGAACAGAAGTTTCTTTTATCTCAGGAAGGGGCGGCTTTATTTTTTCACCAGTTGATGCAATTTATTAAGTTATGTTTTCAAAGCTATAATGATGCATCAGTAGCATCTGATCCAAAGTGAGCTTCAACAATATCATTCTTGTAAAAATTTGCAGCCTCCAAAAATAATCACCTTCAACGTAATCTGTAAAAAGGAGAAATAAAATTATTATTTTTGAATAAGAAACAACCAACTCTCAAATTTTGCCTTCTACATTTCGAACCCTCATTTGGAAATTATTCTTTCTGACAATGATTCCCAATATTTTACACTGTGGCAATTCAGGAACAGTCTTGCTTTATAAAGCTTGGCTCTCCACAATAATGCAAACAATTACAAATCCAAGAATTACAATGTATAACCTGAAAGACGACAAGCGCAAAAACAGAAAAACACTGTGACCACACACTTTGCTGTTAACATCCATTTGCTAAGAACCTGGAAAGGTTCCAAAAACAAAGAGCTACAGTAGCACCAACATATTCCATACATTTATTCTCCTTTAATGTACATTCAATACATTTATTTAGAGAATCTCATACTCTAAATTTGTTGCCCATTAAATACTACAAAGATTCAGTTTACATGTATATGACATCTTGATTGGTTTCTTCCTTCAAATTGGAAATATTCTAATCAGATTTCTTATTGTAATATTTTCATATAAATAATTTCTTCAGACCTTTGCTGTAAATCACTGTTTCAACATACAGTGGGTAGCACTGCCAAAGGTACTTCTGAATAAATGAAGACCTGATCATTTCATAATATTCGTCTCCTGTTTCTGCAGGGAAAAAAACCTTTATTATGCTAAACACTTTTAATTGAAAAGAGTTTCCATTTTTGCACATTTACCAGACAGACATTTTCAAAATTTGCAAATGAATTGTTGAATGGACAAACTCTTCAATAGCTGTAATTACGTTTCAGATGCCCTAGAAAGTAATTTCATATAAAAACATAGAATTAGCAAGATGTGGTTCCTGATGTAAAAAGTAGGTCAGTTCTACAGTTTCTGTCAGCTTATGATGATATGCTCACATCATGTACAGTATGTCATACCCAAACTCCAAAAACAGATGTTTTGATAAAATTAGACACTTAAGAAAGATGGTAGTTGTAGGTTGACTTTTACAAGGTGGCAAATGACATACTTTTTAACAGAAGCATCAACAATTTGTGGCAGATATTTAGAGCAATCTGTGATGGAGACTCAATCCCCCTCAAAGAAAATACATGAATTAGCTGCCAATAGGAAGCTAAGTTTAAGGATATTAATTACTTGATCTTCCTCAAATGATTTTCATCTGTCAAATTAAATGTCAGTACAGTTTTGTATGCTAACTTTTTATGCTTACGTTTCCACAAAACTCTTACTTTACAGCTACAGTAGCAGTCACCATCGAGATGACTCTTAATGGAAACAAGTGCTGCAAGATGCTGTATTGCACATGAGCAGTTTTGTTATCTGTCTTGCAGAAACGTCGTGGGGCGTGTTGCACTTGTAGTGGCCATGAGCCATGCCTCCATCTTCCTACCAGCTTTGCACCAAATGCCAAGGAGACAGCAGGATATGAGCAGCACCTAAACGCAAGGAGAAGTCACATTGCATCAGGTGGTCTGTGTTATTTAAGTCCTGATTAGCTTCTTCTGGGTATTCCAGAATTGTGTCACTAATGATCCACCAGTCAACCATTCGCAGTGGAGTCCTCCCTGCTTTCTTCCTGTTTCCTGTCTGCCTGAGTCCTTCCTGTAGCCCGTCTGATTCTGCTCCCCTGTCTGCCTGGATTTTCCCTGGCACTTGCCTTGCTCGTAATCCTTTTTGGGTTCAGTGAGGTGGCTGCCTGTCATTTGTGCGCACACTTCTGATCCACTGGTGTCCATGTCACACTGCATTTTCCCAGCATGGGCGTGGCACTTCTGTTCCCTTGGTCTTCTAACATTTTTGACCCTTTGAAAATACCCTGCCCCCCCCCCCCCCTTGGAATTGATTACATCTCGATAGCACTGTGAACATCTTCAATAAATAATTTTATCAAGGCTGTTCTTTCAGTTCTTAAATATCTATTCATTTGGCTGTGTACTTCTCTGAACTATGAAATGTCCACTTCATCTTCAAAAGGTTACATCGCAACAAAACTCTTCATCCTGTCATTCTGTCTTTTGTCAAACTAAACAAATATCATCACAATAGAAAACCTATAACTCTACGTATAACCCTTTTTCAAGTTAGTTTGAGTCACTGATGGTACTGGTATATGGCCATGGAAAAAAAGGAATGAAACAAACATGTCCCACAAAACTACAGTTGGATTTTACATTTGGTAATCAAGTAACAGAAGTGTTCTGAGTGTCCCAAATTAATTAAAATAAGATGATGACAGCACTTTACGGTTCATTATATTCTCTCCGCAATCTAAAAATAACAGACAGATGAAGCCCTACTTTTGTGTTTGTGAATACCATGTTTATAGCATGAACTTGAAGATGTAGTTTTGTTCTAATCAGCTGTTATTCTTCAGAGGAATGCAAATCACAAAGTTCCCTTTTTTGTGAGGCACAGAATGAACACAAGCCTGGGCAGAAAAATACTTATTGATTCAGAACACGTTTTCCTGGAGACGATGATGAAAGTAAACGAAATACCAGAGCATTAAAAAAACCACAAACGATGATGATTACACACCAAGGCCCGAAGAGCTTATCGTCAAAATGAACTTATCTTTGCACTTGGCAAAAATGACAGGGGACTAAAGGTCACAGTATGACAACCCGGAATGAAAAATACGCACTTCAAATACAACTACAAAAGAAAACTGCCCTTATCTACGCGTGGCACCAACAGCCCTTCTGAACCAGAAATGTTGCTAAGTTGTCCTTTGGTTCAGATGCTGATTTTACAAGGCGGGAATTAAAAATAGCAGTTTAGGAGGAATGCTTGTTAAATTATGAGGTGTCCTGAAATGTACACTATCTACAAAGTTTATTTGGACAGAATTACAAAAATTTTCTAAATATTAAAATCGATCCACAAAGATGTAAAGAAAAAGGCACTTCTCGCTATCTAATCTTGAATCCGGCGATTAGTTATCAAAAACCAAGCTCATTTTAATTTTTTTAAAATTCATTTACATCATGTGTCCAAACAATTATCTTCACAATTTTATGTTTTAGAGAAAGTTTTGGATACCGATATTGGTGAAGCACATTTATTTTTTTCAATTGCCAGCTTTTTTTGAAAATTGGAATCATCTATAATTATCCTTTTTGATGTCCCCAACCCTACCAATCTGGAAACACCAATTCTTACTACTGGCTTTTATTTCACTGTTGTGCAGTATAGCGGTATAAGTCTTTAACCAGCATGGATGAATACTTTTTGCGAACATGGATGACAATTATGCTTTCCTCAGAAATGAAGAGCAAATTATAAGGAACAAATTAAAACAAATCTTAGCAGTCAAATCACAAGGGCTGCTGTTGCTCAGTGAGGCTGGAATAAATCTAGATAAAGCCTGTTATAGCACTTTGAATTAATAGTTTTTTCACATGTATTCCCAATTACAGACAGGGCACACAACTGAGCTGTTAAGTGCATATACTGAACACTTCCTAGTCCGCCGTCTTTCTGCTGCATTGTTCAGATGTGTCCATGAACAGAAAGAAGAGGAGGTGACATTGTTCTACACCAAGGACAAGGCCTCAAATGTGTGTGGGATCTTGCACATCAATGTGGGGTCTGTGTCTGACATTCGCACACATTTCGGCGTGTGTGACTAAAGTTACCTACTGGAAGTTCTTAAATTCAGGAAAGATAACAACCAAGCCGATTTCTCCCCTGCTGAACTACATGCAAACAGTGGCTCTCAAATAATAAATTGCTCACACATAATGCTCCAGACAAGCCACTGAGAGTTGCATATGATGCAACCTGACTAAAAGAATGGCAGCAAGCCCATGAGGATAAGGCTAACAGGACCCCAAAAGAGGTTAAAGGAACCCCCTAAAACAGAGACAGAATTCTTCAATGACGGAGCTTGTGAAGCACAAGGTTTGAATATACAGTGTGCAAGTCCTCAAAGGAACACAGATCTAGGGTCTGATGGAAAAGACTTTAATAGTATGAATAGACTGCACAGACCAGGAAGGAGTTGGAACGCTGAGGTCAGCCTGGTAATGTGACGAGGACATGGTACATCACCTGGTAGAGAGTAATCATTACAGATGGTTGAGTGGCTGATGGAGAAAAGCGAAGTAAGCAATACAAATAAAAGTCTTGTAGGATTATTCCCATAATGTGGCTTTAAATCCATAAAAGTCTGAATGTAAACATCCTGTCCCATGTGGTCCATTTGCGACAACTGAATGAATGAGTACAAGTTCCAGGTGGAATCCCCAAAAAACTAACGGCCCAAGCGATGATCCTCGAAGGAGCTCACAGTAGAAGTCTGGTTTTTGCCTCAACTGAATGGTTGCGGATAGTCTGATACACTTGAGAGAGTCTGAAAAAAGATCACTGTTGAAATGTCCCAAACCTCTGATTTAAAAAGCACTGTAGAGTAAACCTAACATCCATTAATTATGTGTTCAGGGTGTACTATATGTTTTCAATTCACAGACCTGAGAATAGGTATCTTCCAATTTTATGATTCTGTAGATTTCCATAAAAGATGGTAATCCTGTATATAGTGAGACAAAGCTCATTGAATATTTTTATCTAGATATTCTCACTGAAAATTACCTATAATTAATAGGTATGGGTCTGTCTAGCAAGACAATTCAAATACTTTTGTGAGGAACGTTAATTTTCTTGAGGATCAAAGGCTCAAACTAACATGCTCACATACGATCCATTCATATTTGAACATAAACCTGAATAGAAAAGAGGCTCCTGAATTCAGACGTGAAAACAAAACCTCATTTCTTATGTTGATTTTCTGAGTGATATATTTTTCCATTGCAAAAACATTTATTGCATTTCCATTTATTTGATATAAACCACTTCTGAATATACAGCTCTTCCATTCAACTTTCATGTTCTACTCAGAAAATGCAAAACAAAGAAGCTGTAATAAAGGTGCTTCTAGTTTAATATTAATAGATTTCTATTTGGAGTTAGTGTGCCAGGAGCACTTCACTATGCA